CTCCATTGACCTACAATGCACTGAAAACCGATTAATCCCATAACCAGTGGTTTTTATTCTATTTTTATTCCATTTTGGGTTTTTTCTGGTCTGTAAATCGATTCTCTGGCTGCAAGTCGAATCTAAATTTTGCAGCCAGAGAAGTCTGTAACTCGAAAAGTCTGTAAGTCGAGCCGTCTGTAAGTCGAGGGTCCACTGTATACATAACAATGCAGTTTGCTACTGGGTTAGCTGACTCTTGACATGCACAGGAGGAGAATCTGGCTAAATGGGTCCAAAATTCAAGTAAAACCCAGCTAGCTAGATCAGAGCTGAGGGAATAAACCTTTCTGAAACTTAGCTAGGTGGCAAAAACTTCCAGTCCCTAAATTGTTCCACATGGCAGGATAGACCAAGAGCATGCGCCCACCGGGTCCATTCCCCTCCCCTTCCCCCGGGCCTTTTGGTACAGCCATGTTGCAAAGGGGCTCCACACATCAAAAGTACCTTCGCATGTATCAGTAGAACTGAATGGTCAGCCACATCCCACATTTTCTGGTGTGTGAATGGGTGGCCACAGATGACTGACATGGAAAGTGACACCTCCCGTGGGAATGTCGTTACTCTTGGACAATCCTCCACAAGTGAGTGCCTGTTATGTCTTCTCCAAAAAATATTATTCCACGTGTTTGAAAAATATAAACATCTATCAAGTTTAGCACTGTATCAGAGCACTGCTGCACTGCTAAGGCTGTTTTTAGTTTACTTTCATAATTCTGAAAGTCAATTGGGGGGGGAGGAGTTGCCATTAATGTCCCAGTAGGATGCAGACAAAATTGACAAAGTTTTCCTTATTTGTATTGATGAAGACAGTCCATTTTGCCTGGATAATAAACTGTGAAATAAATTATGAGCTATGTCAGTTCAGTCATTTAAAAAGAGAGTGGCTTTGGGACAGTTTTAAGGCAAGAGTAGAGTAGATACCTAAAATTAAAATAAAGGCAGGTTTGGAAACAACAAAGTGATATTACAGTATTGAGTGCAAGTGGGAAGGTATTGCTGATTAAGGTACCTCCAGGAAAAGAAGAATCAAGACAACTTGGTCTCAGTCATGACTGACAAAGCACGCCTGGCCCCAATCCAGTTCTTCTATTTGTGGTCCAGCTTGAAAGACCTCTAAAAAGTCTCAATTAGCAGACTACCTATCCCCCACTGAAATTAAGCTGCTGTAACAGCAGAAGCACTGGGCTAAAAAGATAGTGTATATGTTTTCTAATTGCAGGGGGGGAAATCCTTAAGTTTGGGCTTGGAAACTGGTTGCAGATTTTTTTTCTGATCATACATTTAACTGTGAAATTTCAGTTATTAAAATAGTCTTTGTGCTGTGTCAATGTGCCCAAACTCTACAAACTGACCCAGATTTCCAAAGGAAGGTAAAACTCATGGAAACTAGGTGTACAGATTAGGTGACATCCTATGAAGAAGAAAAGAAACCCAACTCTATGGAGACGCAATCCCTTTATGAAGACCAGCTAAAATTCCAGGGAAGTGTGCAAGCTTCTCAGTTCTCCAGAATTCTTCTTCTTTAGCCTGTTGGTAGCGAGTACCACTAAGTCCCTTTTTATACACCTGATCCCAGTGCCAGACACATGTGGTCTTATTCTAGTGTCTGAGGAACAGGATTTGCTCCATGAAAACTCATATTAAAGTGACTCGTGAAGGTGTGACATTCTTTGTCCATCATTTTTATAATTTTGCGTTTGTATTTGATACGCTTTTTTCCTGGACGAGAGAAAGAAATGACTTGAATCCTCCATCCTGTCTTAAATTACTCTGAACCCAGAATACTTTCTAGAGAACATATATTGCTCCTTCCCGTAATTCATACTCTCCGTTTGTTTGCTTGTCTGCATCTGCCTCTTTAGACAAGCCATCTTCGCTGTCCTTCCTCCCCACCCAAAACACACTTGCCTCTTTTTTGCAGGCTGATGATTTCATTCTGACCTTTTTGCTGGGATAGAAACGCCCCCTTTTCTAAATGACGGGGAAAGTGAAAGTCAGGAATTAACTTCCTGGGGAGACGCGAGATGGCCGCTGCTGTGGGCAGATCCCTGCAGGACCTCAGCGAGGAAGCCACTTGCTCCATCTGCCTGGATTATTTCAAGGATCCAGTGATCACAGAATGTGGGCACAATTTCTGCCGAGCCTGCCTGACTCACTGCTGGGAGGAGTCGGAGGGGGAAGAGGCGTCCTGCCCCCAATGCAGAGAAAAAGTCCGAAGGAACCTGATCCCCAATCGGCAGCTGGCCAACTTTGTGGAGATCGCCAAGGGGCTTCGCTTTCAAGGGGAAACGATCACTGAGGGAAAGGGGGGAGCCTGTGGGAAGCACCAGGAGCCCCTGAAGCTCTTCTGCAAGGATGATGAAGCCCCCATCTGCGTGGTGTGTGACAAGTCGAAGGAGCACCGAGAGCACCAGGTGGTTCCTCTGGAGGAAGTTGTCCAGGAGTACAAGGTAGCAAGAGCGCCTGCAGGAATGAATGAATTGGGGTGGGAGCCCCGGGGATCCTCCCGGATTCCTGACCTGATAGTAGTTTTTTTAATCTGTAAATAGTTAAAAGAAATGTTCAGTTGATTCTGAGTTCTAAGACATTCATAGAACCAAGCAAGGCATGATTTCAACTTCATAGTTTTCCTTATGAACTTGGGGGGGGGGGGTAGAAAGAGAGAGAGAGACCTTCCTTTGAAACACAAAAGAGTAGCTTAAAAAGGCCCTTGATCCTGTTCAGTTTGGGTTCAGAGCACGTCATGGCACGGACATGGCGTTGGTTGCCCTACAGGATGACTTTCTGAGGGAGGCTGATAGGGGCAGAACTTTCCGGTTGATCCTCCTCGACCTTTCAGTGGCCTTTGATACCATCGACCACAGTATCCTCTTGGGGAGGCTCTCTGGGTTGGGGATTGGTGGTCAGGCCTTCCTGGAGGACCGTCCCCAAAGAGTTCAGCTTGTGGAGATGTTGCCCACTCCGTGGACTCTCAGTTGTGGAGTCCTGCAGGTGTCAATTATCTCCCCAGTGCTATTTAACATATATATGAGACCGCTGGAGAAGCTCATCAGGAGTCTTGGAGCTTCGTGTCACCAATCTGTGGATCACACCCAGCTCTTTCTCTCCTTCCATCCCTCTGCAGTGGATGTTGTCTTGTCCCTTGTGCGCTGCCTGGACACCGTACTGCAGTGGATGAAGGATAACAGACTTAGGCTGAACCTGGACAAGATGGAAATCCTGCGGGTGGGTGCTCCCAGTGCTGGCGGTCTGGGGACTTCCCTCTCTTTTTTTGGGGGGGGGTCACTTTTCCATGAAGGATGAGGTGTGCAGCTTGGGTGTACTCTTGGACCTCATGTTGTCAATGGAACCCCAGATAGTGTCTGTGGTCCCTACCACCTAAGACGGATTGCCCAGGATCTGTCCTTCCAGTGAGCACTCAGGGTTGATTTCCTTCAAAATGGATAGGTTTGTTCTCCTTGCAGTCCAGGGGACTCTCAAGAGTCTCCTCCAGCACCACAATTCAAAAGCACTAATTCTTTGGTAGTCAGCCTTCTTTATGGTCCAGCTCTCACTTCCATGCATCACCAGTGGAAAAATCAGAGCTTTGACTATGCGGCCCTTTGTCGGCAAGGTGATGTCTCTGCTTTTTAAGATGCTGTCTATGTTTGTCATTGCTTTCCTCCCAAGAAGCAGGTGTCTTTTAATT